CCACGTCATCTGCGATTCCCGGGACAATATTGCTTGCAAAGCAACACGGGGAGCAAAGTGGGCTGGAGAGCTCACGGTCTCTCCCTGGGATGGCACAGCAGGTACGGGAACGAGGTGGTACTACAGAACTGATAAGCTGCACACTGGCCGGCCACCCTGAGCCAAAATCCTGTTGGATTTTGAATAAATGCTGTCCTCTGTGTGAACTTTGCTCATTATAATGTTGTTATAATACCAAAACATATCTCCATCCCAAAGGCTACCCACCTCCAAGTTGTGACCACTCCTCTTTGAGTCTGCGCCCTGAGTTTTTGTAATCTATACCTTCAAATGTGAGGCGAGAGAATTTTACAACAATCATAAGAAAGGTATTTATGACTAGAGACACTCAAACTCCACCCTGAAGGTAAAAAAATAGTATAAAAATAGCCTGGGGAAGGTGGGGAAAGACACCATCGTATGAACTTCTGGGACCAGTCAACGGGCTGAGCCTCTCTTTCCCTCCCCATAGGGACGCCTTTGGGTAAGACTTAAGAACACAGAAATCTTTCTAGAAATGTCTTTTCCATTTTTATAGCCTGGCTGTATTGTTATAACTTTGTTGCGCACTTTATATATACTCTTATTTGCACGTGCTTTGCAGACAGTGTATTTATCACTGGCCATCATAGGTACCTCTATATCTGTCACGTAAATAAGCCGTGCCATTTAAGTAGCTAGTCGTTTCGGTTTCTCACTGACTGTGACCAAAGAGTGGCCGTGCTAGTTCATGAGCACGACTAGACTGAAGGTGCAGTCCACTATTAGTGTGTCTGAATTGTAACAGTTTAATATATCGAACCCGGCTGGACTGATAGTGGCGAATTGGTTATCTCTCAGATTTTCTGCCTTAACCATTTCACATGACAGAAAATTTGGCATAGTCGGCAGGATTGCCATGGATAAACTGCTGCAAAAATATGATTGTGCCCCTTCCCAGGTAGGGAAGGAGCGGGCCCAAAAGTTCCGTAAGGATGAAGAGAAAGTTGTAGAACGTATTCAGGAGTGTCAGACTTCACTAAAGCTCAGAGTGGGAAAAGGCAAACGCATGATTTGTGCGGTCTTAGGCGCCTGTTTACCTTGGGCACAAAAAGAAGCTAAGGAAAGCCCTGCTCCTAATCTGATTTCTGCTGTAGAACATGCGACTCTGAAATCAGAAAATGAGGTGTTGAAGTTATCATTCGTTTCTCAGAAGGAGACAGAAGAAAAACTAAGGACTCAGTAAGTTTGTAAAAGAAAATGAAAGTTTGGGAAACCGGAATGCTCGACTTACGGGAGAAAATCTCCAACTTAAAACGTTATTGGAAAGGGCGGCTGGGCTTTTCGATAAAATGCAGCCCTCGGCCCAGGTCCAACAAATATGTAAGTTAATGTGGTGTTCAGATTCCAGAGCCCAGAACTGATTTTTTGGTCTACCAGTGAGGATGACGAAGTAGATGAGGCAGAAGGGACTTCTATTTCGAAATCCCCAGTCTTTCCTTTATGACCTCTGGTTAAAACTGAAACTGCAGTTGAGGAGGAGGAGGAGGTCCATACCACTGTGCATACTATTCCGTGGACTCCAACAGAGTTGGTAAAAATAAGGGAGAAATACTCAAGGTGGCCAGGAGAGTTGGCGGTTGAGCAAGTTGGCGGTTGGAGATTTTCCAGCAGGCAGCTCCCGCTGCCGATAGAGCACCCTCTTCCCCATGTCTGGTATGTTCTGTTCTATGGTACCAACTCCCTGGGGCGTGTTTGGGACAGGAACATTCTCCACCAGGACCCCCGTGACCACAGAGAGGCACATCGGCACTGCCTCTTGCTTGGTCCCTGCCCAGCCGCAGCTGCCAGGGAGTTTCTCAGCCCACGTGAAATCACCACCTTGGCCGTGGCCGTGTGAAAGGAAAGCAGGGTGAAAATCATCTTTGTGGCCACCGTAGCCTCCACTCTTTTTGCCTGCGCTATGAAGCTGTTGCCTGCCATCAGCTGCAAGCCTCGCAGGCACAGCTCTGTGCGTGAAGACCTCTTTCAGTGTCTGTACATCAGCAGCCTTGTGAGCGATCTCGCAGCTCCATGACATTGTGCATTGCCTCGGCGTGGGTGGCCGGATCCTGTGCCGAGTGCTGGATGAGGCTGAGCGGTTTGGCCTTTTGAGAGGTCTTGTGCTCTATAAAAGAGGTCCTTAAAGAGCTGCCAGCTCTGCTCTGCTCTGCTCCTTTATCCCGGAGGGCAGTGTCCCAGGGTGCCCCATCCACTAATTCCTAAAAACAGCTGAAAGTCCCCCCTTCTAAAATTGAGGGTCTTGGCTTCACTCTTCAGCTGGCCCACGTCCCTCGAGACCGTGAATCCCACCAGGGCAGGATCACTGCAGCCCAGCCTGCCAGCCGTCTAATTACTTCATCCCTGTTGGTAAGCGACAGGTCTGGAAATGCTTCTCCTCTGCTTGGACCGGGATGAAGAAATTACCCTCAGTGCGCTCCAGGGGTCTCCTGGATCGCTTACCACTTGCTGTGCTGCATTTCCAGCCGATGTCAGGGTGGTTCAAGTCCCCCAGCAGGATGAGAGCCTGTGAGCGTGACGCTTCCTGTAGTTGAAATAAGAACGTTCTGGCAACATCCATCCTCAGAGAGCTTGGAAAAGCCGCATCCCCTGGGCTGGTGGGCACCGTGCAACCCTTGGGCTGCCTGAGCACTCAGGCACAGACAGGGTTTTTTATGTGACAGTTATGGAAAACCCCGCAAATTTTCACCCATATAGTGTCATTAGATTTCCACTGGAGGTATCCCAAAGAGAGGGATGAGGGTGATCTGAGGAAACATTAACCTGATATCCCACTCAACTTCAGGGGATGCTCACACTAACCTGATAGCCCCCCCCCCCCCGCCCCCCCTTCTTGGGATGCTCACCGGATGGCCTCCATCAAAGGATGGTAACTCCTCTGCAATGGAATGAGAAAGAACAGGATGAGCCATTGATGGTCCATATCAAAGTAACTCCCTTGTGATTGAATGGAAAGAAGACAGGATGGGCCATCTCTGGTATCTCTTGTCCTTGAGATAAGAGAGGAACTAAAACCACTGAGCCATAAAGACAAAGGAGCTGCAAACTAGCCCAGACTTGAAGGATGAGGTGCACATGACTACAGGACTGAGTTTGCACAGAAGTAAGGGTCAACTAGGGAGCATAGTGAAGAAGACTACGAGCCTTCATCTGAAGACCCCTGCCCACCACCACCAGGAAGCGCTGCGCAAGGGCGACGGGAGGAATTTGGGGTGGGGGGATATGTTATTGATTTCTTGGAACTAATCGTAATATTCCCTCCCTATCCTTGGAGTAGTGATGCATATGTATTAGAGTAGATGAATATGTTACTTTTTATACAATAAAAGGGACCCCCTTTTGGCTCCAGGTGGTGCATGTCTGTGGTGGAGTCATTCCCCGCTGTGCCCAGCGCTGAATAAACATACCTACTTTATAACCTTAACTGGTTGTAAAGTTGTGATTCCGTGCCACAAGGGCACCTTATGTTTTGGGTTGCCGTTAAACCCCAGAAGTTTGTGTGGTGCTAGTTTGTTCTCCTTTCAGAGACATTTGAACCTGCTGTTTGCATGTTTGCCAAGTGTTGACTAATTGTGTTTAAAAGTACATTTTATTATTTGTTGGTTTGAGAGTTTCCACAACAATTGGCATAGCCTGCAGGATTTCGATAGAGGAGTTATTGTAGAGGTACAGTTGTGTCTTTTGTCCCCTAGATGTATAATAGGTGAAGGAAAAGTGGTTTGATTTGATGGTAGTTGTGAGAAAGTTGTAACAGAGATATGGAAGTTTTGGGATGGCGGAAGTAAAGGAAATATGTGCACCATCTTAGGTGCCTGTTTGATTCAGGTGCAAGACTGTTTTGTAGTGGTGAAGAAAGAGAACTTAGAGAAACGACTGGAAACTGATGGTTTGAGGGTAGAATTGTTACAAGAGAGTGGGTGGTACGGAACACTGATTGCCTCGCTGGTGGACCCCAGCCCCCTTAGATCTCTTTTTAGCGGGGCTCCGAGATTTTCTAAAAACACCTGCCCAGTCCCTGAGGGAAAGGGTGCAAAGAGCTGTTGAATGTGACTAGCGAAGTTCTCCGCCCCCGTTGTGCAGGTATGAAGGTGGGCGGTAGCGCCGCACGGCCTGGTGGTTTGGGCCCCATGAGACGCGCGGCCGGACCCGGGGTTTGGCCTGGCCGGAACCCGGAAGTTTCAGCAATTTAGTGGGAAACTCCAGCCCGCGCAGCCTCCTGGAAGGGAGCCTGAAGCACTGCGGGATAGGTCATATCGATTTTAGGATTTGGGGAGGAATGGTCTTTGGCCGGAAGTGTTGGTACTGGGGGCACCTCGAGCAATGTTAGATAGGCAATCCACCGATAACATTTGGAAATTGGTGGAATTGCTGGAGGGGAGATTCGAGAATGAGGGGAAATGCCGGTGACTCTGCTCCCTGGGGAAGGGAAATGTAACCCTTTTGTGACATCGGGAGGGGAACTGAGAGAGTTAAAAGCTAGAGGTTGCTGTTTGGGGTTTGGGCTGCCCATTTGGCATGGTGAATTTGTATTAATGGTTTGTTGGTAAGGAGCTTTATATACATATTCTTGTGGGTCCCAGGTAGGTAACTTTAGAATTTTTAATTGATACAGGGCTCCAAACTAGTGTTTTAAATCGGCGGTAAGATTCTGAGTTAGGATTTAAATTATCAAGGAAGATTATAAATACAGTAGGTGTGTGTAATGGGGGTAATGGAAAAAAGTTGCACAGTGCAAACGTAGTTTTGGTTATTAGGGGTAAAAGAGGATGATAGCTGTGGAGGTGGCTTTAAGCCCTTATAAGGGAAACAGATTGGAGTTTGGTGTGTTGTTAGGTAAACAGTGGTGTTTGCCTGTGGAAGACGAAAAACATGTAGACTGCAGAGGAATTAATGGCATGAGACTTTGCAGTACAAAAGAAGAACAAGAAAAACAAAGGGCAACTAGGAGTTAAATCGAACTGCACGGATTAGCATCTGTGAAAGGGGACCAATTGAGCTTGAGCGAGTCCTGGGAACAAAAACCATTCAAAACATAAGGACTTGGCTCAGACTTTTAAATGCCAGCTGCATTCTATTTTTACATGGGAACAGAGCACCACTGGGGGAAAGAAGGGGCCTCCCCCTCTTTGGAAAGCATAAAATCACACTGTTTCTTTCAATAAATGACTTCGTTACTCTCGAGTGCTGAGGTCCGTGCCTTCAGTATACCACAAAACGCGCCCGAATCGTTTTTGGTTTTTTATTATTTTTTTTTTTTTTTTTAGAAATGAACAGAAATATGACGAATGAAAAGGAAATTGAAGAATGAACATTCCCGGTGGTATACTCCTGAGCTGGACGGAGGGAAGGATATATTGAGTACTCATCAGAGGTTTTCATCACCGATCGCTGGATGACACAGGTGAGCAGCTACGGGAAATCCTACATAAAAAGGCATTATGGGGCAGTCAGCAACTAAGGAACAGAAACTGCATGCAGAGGTTTTATAAAGAATATTGTGGGAACAGCAATTTAAGGTCGCCCCATTACAGTTAGTAACGTTACTTGTTTGGATAAGTGATCATTGTCTGTGGTTTCCGGAGACTGGTTCTTATGACTCAGCCTTACGGCACAAGGTGGGCGAGGAGATTCAGGCTAAACCGCTTTTGCAGCTGGAGACCCCGGAAGGAATCTTGATAACACGGCGAGTTGTTTATAGCGCCTTAAAAACATTAATGCCTGCAGAAGAAGTTTTGCAAGGGTCCTCCGATAAGAATGCTGCTGCGGAATCAAAAGAACCTGAGAGAAATGAGAATGTAAAGGTCAGAAAAGAATCTCAGTCATTCAAATTAATAGACTCCGATTCTACCCGTGAAAATGCAGAGGTGTCTGCTGAGTTGCCAAAAGATGAAAATTCGGGGATGAATGATCCTTTAGATACAGGGCAAATTAATCCAGGTCAGGAGGCAGACTTGTATCCACCGTTAACACCAGTAAAAGTGTTAGCAGCCTCCGCTCCAACTGCAGATCAGATTTTACAGTGACAACGGCAAACTTCTGTATTGCTCCTTTTTGTATTGAAACCACCTCTCTCTGTGCGTCTCCCCGCCCTCCCCCCGGCTTCGTACCAGTCACCCCTTGCGGCTGCAGTGAAGTGCGTACTAGAGGATTATTAGATTAATGTCATTTTGAAGCATTACAAAAGGGGGATATTTCTCTTTTACAAGCTATGCCAGTTGTTTATCTACCTCAGAGGCCTCCTGAATATGCACATTTACCATATGAAGTTATTAAGGAACTTAGCAAGTCTATAAAGGAGTATGGACTACAGGCTTCTTTTAAATGAACTTGTTGCAAGCTATAGCTAACTCCTATGTCTTGACTCCATTAGGTTGGAAGTCTGTTCTGAGACTGATTTTATCCGCTGCTCCATTTTATGTTTGGGCTTAAGGATAATATAGCTGCGGGAACTGCATTTGGAGAACAAGAGTTGCTAGGACAAGGCAACTTTGCTACAGGAGCGTCAGCCTGGTTTTGGCCACAACACAATCAACCACAATAACTGATACAAGTGTATCGTTATTATCAACAGGGATTTTTGGACCATTACCAGAAGGATTAAATGCTCTGTTACTTGGCAGGTCTTCTACTACTAGGGCCAGATTGTTTGTACTGCTAGGAGTGATTGATTCTGACTGTACGGGAGAAATCAGAATTATGGTGTGGTCACCCCACCCACCCTGTACTATACTGACAGGTGAACATTTGGCACAATTGATTTTCTTTCTCCATATAGTCGGTAACACTCGAACTACCTTACAGCAGAGAGGTGATAAAGGTTTTGGGACTTCTGGTATGCCAAATATTTTTTGGACAAAAAAGATTACAACTGGACAACCTATGTTAACATGTATGGTGAATGGTCATGCAATAACTGGGTCAGTGGATACCGGTGCTGATGTTTCTATCATACAAAAAGCAGACTGGCCCCTTGAATGGCCTTTAATCCAAGCTTTCGTTGCAGTTACAGGAGTAGGTGGAACGCAGATACCATGGCAAAGTAAACATTCATTACTTATAGAAGGACCAGAGGGAAACCAAGCTGTATTGCAACCTTATGTATTGCATGTACCGTGCACCTTGTGGGGTAGAGATTTACTTCAACAATGGTGTATGACTTTGTCAACAAAATTTTAATGAGGGCCACTGAAGTCCAGCCATGACTTTAACTTGGTTTACAGATGAGCCTGTGTGGGTCGATCAGTGACCTTTGAAAGGAGAATGGCAGGAGCAAGCTTCTCTGTTAAGAGAGGAACAATTACAGGCAGGACATAGAGTTGCATCTACTAGTCCATTAAATACTCCAATTTTTGTTATTCCAAAGAAATCACAAAAATTGAGACTTTTGCAAGATTTAAGAGCTATTAATGCTGTTATGGCACCTACGGGAGCTTTGCAGCCTGGGAGACCTAGTCCAAGAATGATTCCTAAGAATTGGTATTTATGAGTCATTGATGTAAAGGATTGCTTTTTTATGATTTGCCTACACCATGATGATTGTTATCAATTTGCTTTTTCTTTACCTGTGATAAATAATGATCGCCCAATGTGACATTTTTACTGGGTAGTTTTACCACAGGGCATGAAAAATAATCCAACCATTTGTCAAATTGTGGTGAATGAAGCTCTTTCTCATGTCAGACAAACTTATAAGGATATAATTTTATATCGTTATATGGATGACATTTTACTTGCCACAGAAACACTAACACACCTGAATATTGTATCTGATTCTTTAACACGTGAATTAAGTTGATATGGTTTTCAAATTGCTCCAGAGAAAGTAGAAAATGTAGCACCTTGGAAATATTTAGGCTGGAAAGTATATGAATCTACTGTTTATCCTCAGACTGTCAGAACTGCACCCACGATACAAACACTGAATGATTTACAAAAGTTACTGGGAACTATTAACTGGTTACGTCCCTTCGTAGGGATAACCACACAGGAATTGTCACCTCTGTATGTTGTTTGCTTAAAGAGGATACTGAACTTACTTCAGAATGACGACTTACAGATGTCACAAAGTCATCTTTACAAAAGGTTATACAAAAAATTAATACAACATTTGCAAATTGAATACATTTGAATTTACCTGTTAGGCTATTTGTCATCTATCATAGGTTTCAACCATATGCTTTACTTGGACAGTGGAACTCTGAGGAGTACAATGAAAAATCATCTCTAATTATTTTAGAGTGGTTATTTCTTCCTCGCTCTTTTTCAGAAACGTTGACAACAGCAATTGCAATGCTATCTCAGTTAATTACTTCTGGGTGACATTGTTGTCAACAATTAACTGGAAACGATCCTCACTATAGTAATTTACCTACAACTAAGTATGATTTTGCTACCTTGGTTAGAGAGTGTCTTTTCAGACTGCAACGTCCAATTTTCTGAATATTGTCAAATACCACTTGTCTAAACACAGATTGTTACAATCTCTACAGTTTTTACCTTTACAGCCTCATTCTCTTTTAGCATCCTCACCTATCCCTGCAGCTCGAATGGTTTTTATTGATGGCTCCAGAAAAACTGGGAAAGCAGCAGTTGCATGGTTTGATTCTATAGAACATAAGTGGTTACATGATGTAAGTTCTGTTACAGGATCAACACAAATTGTAGAACTTATGACAGCAATTAGAGCGTTTCAATTATTTAATGCTGAACCTGTAAATATTGTAGTTGATTCTGCATATGTAACGGGTATTCTAATGTGCTTAGAAAATGCTTTTATCAAGAAAGTAGATAATAAGCAATTATTTCAATTCTTAGTTTTGCTTGCAGACTTAACTTAGAAAAAGAACTCATTTTTATTTTATTGTACATATTCATTCTTACAAAAATTTACCTGGACCTTTGGTTGAAGGAAACTGAATTGCAGATCAATTGACAATGGCTGTAAATATTACTTGTAAAACAGACCAGGCAAAAATTGCCCATCAGTTTTTTTCACCAGAATGCTCAATCCTTACGAGAAAATTTTTCTTTGACAGTGGAACAAGCACAATGTGTTATTCGTGCCTGTGAGGACTGTCAGCACTTAGTACCTCTTCCTTTATTACATGCTACAAATCCCCATGGTCTTCAAGCCAACGAATTATGGCAAACAGATGTCACACATATTCCATCCTTTGGAAAACTTAAATATGCGCATGTTACAGTTGACACATTTTTGGGATTTGTAGTCACCACGGCGCACTCAGGTGAGAAAACAAAAGATGTAATAAGACATTTTTTACGATCTTTTGCCTCAGTTGGTGTACCTAAACAGATAGATGCTGATAATGGACCTGCGTATACTTCTCATAAACTGTTATTATTTTTTCAGGACCGTGGAATCACCCATGTAACAGGCATTCCTCGTTCACCTACAGGACAAGCAGTTGTGGAGTGCATGCATCACTTCTTAAAAACTATGCTTGAAAAACAAAAAAGGGGGAATCTCCTCCTTTCTCCACAAGAGAGACTAGATAAAGTGATGTCACTTAATTTTTTACATCTTTCTGGAATTAAGAATTACAAAACGGCAGCTCAAAGACAATTTCAGTTTGCTCAGACTCCTGAGATATATTTGAAAGTTTTTATAAACATGTAGAGTCAGGTAAATGGGACGGGCCTGTACCACTTTTAACATGGGGACGAGGTTATGCTTGCGTTTCTCTTCTTTCAGGTCCATATTGGATTCCAGCAAGGAGCGTCAAGCCTGCTCAGACGATTTTCAGAGACATCGAAGAAGATGTATCTCTGGACACATGAAGGATCAAGAATGAGAAAACAATGGTGTATGTTGTGTATATGTGTAACGTTAACATGGAATGTTCAGGTTGATGCAAATGTGTGCTGGGCGCACATTCTGGATCCTCCAGTGTTCCGATTGTTAACCTGATGGGATGCTTCTCCACCAATTAGTAGTAATGATACCCAATGGTCCAGAGGGGTATGGCTTCCTCCTGCTTCGGATACTTAAATGTTTGAAATGAATGAAACAACCATGGTAACAGATTTTCCTCCTATATGTCTCATTAATGCCAGTGATTCAGAATTTTGTTTAAGGATGCAACCACAACAACGTCTAGTAGCAATAAAAAGCAAGACTCGTGAATTTTGCAATTGTTACCATTCCTGGTCTATCGTTACACAATATTACTCCTATAAAAAACTCAGAGTCCCTGCACCCTTCTAGTTTTCATCATTCTTTAGTATGGCATAATGGAGGATCTGCAGGGTCTGTTCTTCAGTATTATTTTTACACTAATTCACAGCTATCTCCTGCACATACTAACCTTTGGCGTCTTGGCTCACCTTTTTTTCAGTGGAAGCTATATCAAGTATCTTTATATGATAGTCATACTAATGCTTACTTAACTTTGCTAAGAGAAGATTCTGTTACAATGAGCACTACTCACCCTTACTTGATTGTAATCGCACCTACTATTCACATTATTTTATGTAGTCATTCCTTTTGTGTGATGTTACACTCTCCCAAGTTTAAGGCATGCATAGCACATACTGATGTGATAAACAGTACATACATCTTTCTTTTACAGTGGCGTCCAGAGTTATGGTTACCTGTTAACACGAAACTGGGAAGGCGAGAATGGCTTAGCCCAATTTGCTAGGTACTGCAAGTCACGTTAGTTGTCACAATGCTTCAATTCCTCTGGTCAGCTCTTCGAAGAGTTAAAAAGGTAGAAGCTCGAGTTATGGCCACACTGGTTATAAAAGAAATGGTCATAAACAAAAAAGGGGGAGGGGTGGAAGATGAAAAACATGTTAACTGCAGAGGAATTGGCAGCATGAGACTTTGCAGTACAGAACAAGAACAAGAAGAACAAGGACAACTAGGAGTTAAAGTGAACTTGATTGAGTGACTCCTGGGAACAAAAACCACCTCATTCAAAAGATAAGGACTTGGCTCAGACTTTTGGATGCCAGCTGCAAAGGACCCTTATCTTCATTCTATTTTTACATGGGAACAGGGCACAGCTGGGGGAAAGAAGGGGCCTCCCCTTCTTTGGAAAGCATAGAATTTTCTTTCAATAAACGATTTTGGTACTCTCAGGTGCTGGAGTCTGTGCCTTCAGTATACCACATTTACCAGAGGCGGAGCGTGGAGTTTTGGAAGTAGGGGGACAAGGGTGTCTTATGTAAGAATTTTGCAGGTTGTTCTTTTATTATCATATTCTGAGGTAATCCATGTCTCAGTATTGTTCACAGTTGTTAAATGGGGTATTTAGAGGTAATTGGTGATCTTGAGAAAAGAGATTATAAATTGTATATGTTCCCCTTACGATTTTCCAGTTTGGCCAGTCCGCGAGACGGGCAGTGGGGGCTAATGATTACTGGAGATTGAATAGCAATAGCTCACCTTTAACAGCTACTGTCCTGAATATAACATCAATGATAACAGTGATACAGGCCGCCGCTTATTTGTGGGTGGCTGCTTCAGAAGTAACAAACACGTGGGTGTTGGTTTTTTTATGATTCCCCTAAGGGAAGAGGATAAGCCTCAGTTGGCCTTTACTTGGGAAGGGACATAAAATACCTTAAATTGACTCCCACAAGCATATAAGTATTCCCCCACTATTGCTCATAATGTTTTGGCCAGACTTCTTGATACAGTGGAAGTGTCGTTGGTTGTCCATATATCTATCAGCATGTAGATGACATCCTGGTTGGCAGAGATATTAAAGAAGTGGTTGAAATTATTTGGGATTTGTTCATTAAGGATAGGTTAGATATTCTACCCTCTAAACGTTAGGGTCTTAGGCCTGAAGAGAAGGCAGCAAGGGGGTGTTTGATACACTATATTATCTTCAGGCTAGTGGCATAGTTGAGTGGATTATCAGTTTGATTAAGAGACATGCCAATGTCTAATGACATAATTGAGATATATGGTTATCAGAAGAGGTTTTTATTGTTAATAACTATTGGGGAAATTATGGAAACTTAAAAAGAGGAGTATTGTGCCCTAGGGGAGTTATTGGTTATTATTTAACAATTATAAGGGCTGGTTCCCACTGAAGATATGTGTAGGCCAAGTTGTTATGATAATGTTATCTTCAATCGGCATTGTGCCTGTGACCCTCGTAAAACCTAGAGGGTTACATGTCTGGGAGGATTTAGATGAAGGTGGAAGAACTTACTGTATTAGTGCTGGATGGATAATCTCTGAATTTTAACTCGATGCCCAGGTTTTAATCTGAGGACTAGGTGTTGATCTTTTTGGGGGGGAAGAAGCGGATGTCTTCAGCATTGTTATGGGCGATGGTGACGGTGACCCACATGGACGATCGAGACTTGGATGACAACATGGTGGCGAATACTTCTGTGAATGTGGCATCTTTTAGAAGGTTGTGCTTGGACTTGGTGATACTAAGGTGGGGAAAGTGTTTTTATGACCTGACTGTATTAGTACCACTTTAAGTAATGAAGAAAGTGGTGAGAGATTTGAAGTCAATTGTTATTTTTTTAATTGATTGATTGGATATGTTCAAATCTTCCTTATTAGAATGGTTAGTTTTAACTTTGGTTGGAATAGATTGTACTGAAGTTTAAGTAGTGAAGTCCGTGTTGGAGTATGTGGGGGTTTTGTTTGGAGATTGATTTGTATAATTATTTAGAAACCATGATCCACAACAAGCATTAGAACTCACGGGGACTGAAATCCCTTTTAACCTTGGAGGCAAGAGGTGACTGTGCCACCACTTCAAGGAAACCAGCTGAATCATGATTGTGGTCATGGGGTGGATTGTGTGGCACGTGCATGAAAATGTGGCTTTGCGGCTGTTGAGCTTTTCTTGTGCCCTTGTTCTCAGGGCTTTGCTGTACTTGGAGACCTCGGCAAATAGGGGCTGGTATTGCCCACAGGTCAGATTTGGCTGGGGTGTAAATGGAGTCCCCGTGGGGAGCCATTTTCAGCTAGCCTTGACTGGAGCCACGGGCTGCAGGTAAGGACTCTCTCCTTGGGTTGGGACGCCGCAGAAGGAAACTCCTCGGGGCTCCTTGGATTGGGACGATTGCCCTAAGATGTTCCTCGAGGTTGAGAGTCCTTGCCTTTTACTAGGTGAGTGGTTGAGTGATTTTGGTTGGTGTCAAACCCCTGCTAACGTTCTGGGTTGAGGTTAAACCCAGGATAGCATTCTGGGTTGTCGTTAAACCCCAGAAGTTTGTGTGGTGATAGTTTGTTCTCCTCTGACGGTCATTCGAACCTTCTCTTTGTATGTTTGCAGAGTGTTGAATAGTTGTGTATAAAAATAAATTTTATTTTTTTATAATTTGTTGGTTGGAGACTTTCCGCAACACCTGCACAAGGGCAGGCCTTGAATTGGAGCCATCTCAAAAGCTTTTGTTAACCTTGCTGCACGTGCTAAACAGTCTCCCTCATGAAGGCTGTGGGAACCTGAGCTTGCAGTTCACAAGAAGCTGTGGGGAATGAGCAGTGCGTTCTCTGTGTCTGGCACACTGTTGTGGTGTTTTTGAAATAAACATGCAATATATAAAATAAATTTTATTGTGGATGCAATTGATTGGCACTCCAGCAATTATTCATAAATGGCAGGTCCAAAAGTCCTTGAGAGGAAGAACCCCCAACTTGTACTGAACTTCAGTTAGAAAAATTCCCAGGATTTAAAGGCAATCCAAAACCTCAACGGCAACATGCTGCTCCAGGGGGGACTAGCTTAAAATGGCCCCTCACAAGGGGCTCCATTTATACCCAGGTCAAATCTGATCTGTGGTCAATGCCAGCTCCCATTGGCGGAGGGCCCCAAGTACTGCAAAAAGGGCGTGAAAAAGGAATCGGCATCCGCTGTGCCTCAAGAACCAGGAAGCCCCATCTTGGTCAGGGTGGGTGCACCTGTGTTGTGGTTTGATCTCTGAGGGCGACTGAGCACCACGCAGCCGCTGACTCCTACCTTCCCTCTCAGCCAGGAGAAGAGAAAAAGAAGCCAGGCTTGGGGATCAAGATGGGACAGGGAGGGGAAAATCACCCATTATGGTCACGGGCAAGGGCGGAGTCCTTAGGGGAAGAAATAAAAAGAACATAGATTTGTTACAGACAACACCAACAACACTTAACAGAGTAGGACAGTGAGAAGCGTTGCCACATCTTGAGAACACCTTCCCCCAGCCCCTCCCTTCTCCCCGCGCTCCCAATATCTCTACCTCCTCCCCGCAGCAGTGAATGGTCAGGGAATGGGGGGTGCCGTCAGTGCTGTGCAGTCATTGCTGCTGCTTCTTCCATCTTCGGTGGGGGAGCTTCTAGAATTTCTTCCCTCTGCTCCAGCGTGGTCCCCCTCTTACAAGAGACAGTCCTCCACAAAATTTTTCTGACGTGAATTCCTCCGATAGGCCACAGCTTTCCTCATGCTGCTGTGGCGTGGGACACTCCCGCATGCAGCAGTTCTTCCTGCGCTGAACTACAACAGCGGGGGCTACCTTCTCCCACAGGATCCTGGCCTTCTTTGGGCACAGTCACCTTAGTCATCTATGCGGAGCCCCTCAAAGGCCATAAATGACTGTCTGCTCCACCGTAGACCTTCATGGTTGGCCGGGGGGGGGGGGGCCGTCCTGCCCTCTCATCACAGGATATAGGAGGGTCTCTGCTCTGGCACACCTCCCCACTCCTTTCTTCCTCCGTTCCTCCACTGACCTTGGTGTTCGTGCAGTTGCCGCAACTGCTCCTCACAAGTCCCTTCTTAAATACGTTACTTATTGCAGAGGTGCAGCTGCTTGGCTAGCCTTGGTGCAGAGTTGGGGCTGAATTGGAGCCGGGGGAGCTTCGAGAATCGTCTCACAGTGGGGGTCTGCTGTAGCCCCCTCCCCTGCTCTCAAACAGCCCCACCACTCACTCAAACCCCGGACAACCTGCCACCATGAGGAATGAGCCTCGTGCTTGTACAGCAGCCAGAGCAGCCAGAGCCCCGCTCCGCAGTCGTGGCAATTATAGTAATCGTGCTCCCTCCTGGCAGCTTCCACCTCAGATGCCTGCAGCTCTGTACCCGCATCCTGATGGGCACAGGCTTTTCCACCTATACCATGAAGACGGTTCTGATGCACCTCCTGGCCAGCACACACCCGTCAGACTGGCAGAAGATTCATTTCCGGCAGTGGCTGGAGGACATCATGGGATACATGCACTTCTGCCTGCAGGAGAGATGCCTCAACCACTTCTTTTTTGGCAATGAGAATGTGCCCGAAGAGATAATCTTGCCCCCATTCTTCCATATGGCTGATCCCATCAACCTCTTCCAGGGCCTGGAGCAGGATCCAGATGCCCACATCCTGGCACTGCATGGGTTCCATCAGCTGCAATATCGGCTCGCAAGACTGCTGTTGTACTCTGACCACTGAAAGAGGTCTTCACAGAGCTGTGTTTGTGGGGCTCATGGCTGATGGCAGATGGTGACCTCAAAGCACAGGGAAAGAGAATGAATGTGGGACAGAAAGGACAAGGAAAGTCCCGGAAAGCAGCCCTCAACCAAGAGCGGCAGCCTTCCTCCTCTTGATGCTCTCTCCAGCACAGTAGACAGTGTCATGACTGCTGTGGCTACAAAAATGACATTTACCCTGCCTTCCCCTGGCACTGTCATAGTGATGTATGACATAGAGATATTGCGCAGGCGTGATGGGGAGGGACTTTGTGGGGGATATGTTAATGATTTCTTTGGCATCATAAAAGGGGGCCGCTTTTGGCTCCAGGGCACGCACGCTGTGGTGGAGTGATCCTCCGTGCATCCCGCGCTGAATAAACATACCTACTTTATAAGCTCACTGGTTGTAAAGTCGTCTTTCCGCACGTCAATGGCCACATTGGTAATTTCACATGGGCCCAGGAATTCCTGCTGGCAGCTGAGGCTCTGCAGGGACCAAGCGAGAGGCACTGCTGATGTGCCTTTGCGTGGTCACTGGGGTCCAGGTGGAGAGTCTATCCATCCCAGATGCTGCCCAGGGAGCGGGTGCCACAGAACTGCACAAGCAGCATGTGGGGAAGACTTTCTGCTCAGCTGGCACCGGGAATTACTGCTGCACCTTTCCTCCACAGCAGCAGCACACTCTGG